TGGAAGTCCTGTTATCCCTGTTACCTTCTGTTGGACACCTACTTTGGATGGTTCCTGGTTTTTCACTTCTGTTTTCCTTAACCTAAGAGGCCATTAAATTTTCTAGGTTGGCAGATGTCCGTAGGGCAAAAATGTCTTCTCTTCCTTCAATTTGATTTTGGCTTGATAATTCCTTATTATCTTCTCAGCTTATTAGTATTTTAAAGAAGATCTTTAAAAATTTACCCATCATTTTTTGGTTGTTTTTTTTTGGTTTGTCTGTTTTTATTTTTGTTTTTGTGGGAGAGTTGTCCAAATATACTAGACTTCCCTATTTCCAAGGGTACAGCTCAAACCCACTTATTTTATAGTTGACGAAAGTGAGTTCGGAGAGGCCGGTGACTAGCTCAGACCAAAGATCTGGGTAATGCAGAGCGGCCGGTGAAATCTGAGTCTCCATCCCATCTCCCAGGGCTGTGTTTTCTGACGTTTGTCCATTTGTCTGATAGTTTTGATCTTGTGCATAAACAAAGTGGACACTTGAGTAATCAAATCGTAAGCTTAATGAGTATAGATGGGAAACCATAGAAATAAAAAATTACCTCTGTGTGACTTTTCTCAAAATGGAGTGTTTGGTCCTAGTTTGGCCCAAGCTTTGCTTTTGTGTTTTGGATCAGAAATATCATATATTTTAGAGGGGCTTATGCAGAATTATTCTATTAGAATGAAATTTTGTGGATTGTCAGGTTCCCTCCTAAACCAGCTGTCAATCCCATCCATGGAAGTTACTAAGTCTGTCCTCATTTAGGTGGGGTAAAATAAATTAGAAAAGGTTGCAACAATGGAACCCATTTTAGTCCTTTGGAAGAATAATTTCTCTCATCCACTTGCTTTTATCCTTTCCTTTCTGCTGCCCAGATTATTGTGTTTCTGCTGTTGATTCCCATCTTGGATAGAGAGTGACAGTAGGACAAGGGAGAGGCAGGAACTAAATGTTCAGATAGCCTCTACCCCAGGCAGTTTTTCATTTGTTATTATGTTGCCCTGATGGATTTCCTGAACTATTTGCGTGCTTTTATCTCATACTCACTGTGAATCTAATTTCACTCTTTGTTTTGCCCACTCAGTACCTTGTAGAATTTTGACCCCTTTCTAGCTAGTATCCCATCTATCACAGTGTACATTTTGATAAGCTCATCATACCTCTGACTTTACTGTCCCCCTATTTTTATTTTCCAGTCTTTTCGATTTCTTTAAATATTTACTTTTGTATATTCATGTTGTGTATAATTCTATAACCTTTTGTGGACCCAAGAATGGGCATAAACTCCTAAATATTTTCACTCTGCCTGGGAAGACGTTTGAGAGGTAACATTCAGGATGGTCATAGAAAGAAATGAATTTCTTTCCAGGGAAGCATTGACAGTGTTGGAAAAGAGCACTCCTGGCTTTGCGGTTGTCAGCATCTGTGTTTGCTGGTTGCTTGAGAGACTTACCTGTTCCATCGAAGCCTCAATGTTCTCATATATGAAATGGGGGTACTATTAGTGCATTGATGTACTTATTCTTAGTACAGTATCAGACACATACTTAAGCTCGCTAAACATTAGCTGCTGTTATTTTTTGATAGATGGAACAGTTTGGGCAGAGGGACTAGCAGGTACAAAGCTATGGAGGTATAGAAATGCGTTCAGCGTCTGCGTCCATCAGCAGGGAGGAAGGAATGGCCAAGGGTAGGCCACATGCAGGTTTACTAAAAAGTGAGTCTGGGCAAGATACAGATGTATCTGGATACAGATGTGATGGGAATGTGTACTGAATGCTGCTGAAACTGGCACCCTTAGCGGGAAATTGAAGATCTGGAGTGAGAGAGGCACGTGTTGGTGTCATGGGGGCATGGATCTGTCTTATGTTCCTGGTAAGACAGGATGGTGGTTCTCAAACCATTGTGCACAGGCAGGAGACTTGGGGACTTTGTTTAAAGCACGGTTTTCAAGAACAATCCAGACTCAGTTGGTCTGCAGTGGACCCCAAGATGCTGATTTTGAAATGAATATACAGGTGATCCCCATGTAGGGGGTCCTCAGATGCCCTCTGAGATGGATGGGAATAGTTGTTGAGAAAATGCTCACTAACTAACTGGCAGACCTGATGAAGCTCAGTGGGAGGGCAGCTGGAAACAAATGACTTAAAAGCAACATGTTTACATTCATTATGAGTTACAAATCTCCACGCTCTCCCTCTGTGGCTTCTTGCTCTTAGATAAATGAGCACCCAGCTATACAATTTTTTTCTTTTTCTTTTTTCAGATTTTTTTTTTTTTCAAAGAAAAAAGAATAATCAGAAATCATACAGTTGTCCTATTAGGTTTGGTAGAGCTAGAGACTGGTCCTTATCTGGTAGACGTAGCAGGAGACCAGGGGATGGAAGAGCCTGTTAAAAAGAGATCAGTAAATGGGAGGAAGCAAAAAGGAACGTGGAGCAGCGTGAGGTCAGGAAATGAGAAAGATGGAAATGAGAAAGGATGGGAAAAGAGCAGTCAGATCTGATTGGTTGGGAATCTATTTGTGAAGGAACCCAGCCAGTATTTAACCTGTTTTGAAAAAGCTAGACTTCCAGCATTTTTAATTAGTGGATTGCTCGCTTTTGAAATTGCCCAGTTGGGAATACTCAAGTTTTGATGTGTTTTATCTGGCTGCTAATTAGCAGGCTGCTTGGTTGACCATCATTTTCCCTTTATTCTGTGGACAGAAGATGTTTATGAAGGTCTCCTGAAACAGTCCAGCTCAAGTCTGGGTTAAAAGGCATAAGTAACTATGTATTTAGTAGGAGTCCATACTAAGCTATAAATTAAATTCTAGTACATCTTTTCTCCAACTCGCCTCTTCCTTTTTGCTCTTTAATGTGATTTTCCCTCTGCACTGGGCTTCTCAATCTGGACACAACTGACACTTGGGGACAGAGCATTTTTGGTGGGGGGAAGGGACTTTCTAACATTTGTAGAATGTTTAGCAGTATCCCCTCACCTCTACCCACTAGATGCCAGTGGCGCTGTCCCCCTTCCCGCCCTCCCCCCCCATGTTGTAATAACCAAAAACGTCTCTAGACATTGCCAAATGCTTTCTGGGGTCCAAAATCACCCCCATGTGAGAACAACTCCTATTTCCTCCTTGTTTCTGCCTGCTTTTTTGTGTTTAAAGATTTCCTTAAAAATTGGAAAAATAAAAGGTGTCCAAACAACGTGAAATCTTATGGAACAGAGGGATTCAACTCTGTTCCTTCATTTCGTTTTGGCCAAATGCAAGAGGAAAAAAACTCTCAAATTAATCCAGGCTGGCTGTTTCAGGTGAGAATAAAGTCAAGACATGCCAGATTTTTGAAAATCTGCAGTGCTTGAGAGATTTTTGTCGTTTATACATTTTGTTGCTGAAAATATTTGGTTTTTGGTTAAGGATGAAGAGAACCATGTAGGTTTGCCAGACTCCCCAGTCTAGAGCGTTCTGAGTCATTTCTGCGAGTATTTCAGTTCGACATACCCGGAGGCCAGGAGATGGGGTTACTCACCCGCAGATTTGGGGAAAGCCTTGCACCTGTCTCCGGACTGCATGCAGGACCCAGAGCTTTCTTGACATCCCTGAAAGCTCACAGTCACTGATTGTAGCCATCCGCAGGAGACTTTTGTTTGCAGTTGCATTATCTTCTGAAGCACCCACAAAAGGGACAGAAATACTTGTTTTAAAAAAAAGGGAAAGAATGCAAGTTTAGTAATAATAATTGTCTTTTTTTGCTGCTATCCCATCTCTTAAGAGATTCTAAAATGCCGTGTGTTCCACTGTACCCAAAAATAAATCAATTAATTTTACTATGATTATTTCTTCTGATAATAAAATAGCAGTAATAAAAGGAACGACAGTGGTGGATTAGGAGAATAAACAGTATCACTGAAATGTTAGGAAACACAATAAATGGGATTATATCCCCTAAACCGAAGTTTCACACCTCTTCCTCCAGTCCTGTCAGACACTTGTGATGGCCGTCTGTTATCAACCACGATCAAAATAATGGAACAGTGAAACTTTTTATACTTATCAAGGACCTTTCATCAACAATCTCAAAGCCATTTCTAAATATAGAGAGACTGATCTTCAGAGCATGTTTATGTTTTAAGCAATGGATACGATAACTTCACTGTAATAGTCTCCAGCCTGAGCACTTTGCCACTTGAAGTCCCAACCCCTGGCATGGTCGGTGTTAGAACTTTGCTGGTCCAGAGTTTAGAAGAATTTCCACTTCCTGGTAGCTCATATAGGTCTCTTCACTATCACTTATCAAGATAAAACATTGCTTTAACAACTTTAATGTTCACATCTCGATGCCCAGATTAAGGATTATAGCTGAGTGGTCAATTCTGTTACAATAATTAAAATACTGAGATAGTGTTGTCTTTACTTAAAATGTTAAAAAAAAAAAAACACCCACATTGTAATATCCTTGTAGTGTACTGGTGGAAATAGATTACTGAATCTGCTTTTTGTCTTGTGTATTTTGTTTCATGCCTGTTGTCTGGTATAATAAGCATTGGCTAGAGAACAGGAAGTATCCACGAGCATTATGAGCACAGATGCTGCTAATGTTGGCGTGAATATTTGCCTTAACTTACCTTTTCAAATATACATTTAAGGTTGCATGTGTCGTTTTAAACTTATTTTGTACAAAAGATCTTAATAAAACTTTAAGTGCAGTTTCATGTCTATAAAAGTTGAGGCTATGAAACACTGAAGGATGGAAGTAATTTTTATGTTCATACCTCTGGTTCCTGAGGGTCCAGTTCATTTCTGCTGTGAATTTAAATGAGTTAATTTAAGTAGATGGGTCAGAAGCCACTATCATCGTGGTAGCCCCATGCCTGATTGTTAATTAAAGGCAACAGGAGATTAATTTGAAACATTAATTTAAAAGTGCATATACAGAAAGGAAGAATTACTGCAAGAAAGCCTAAAGAACTTTTCTCTTGTCCCTAGATGTAGAAGACAGAAGTAGCTCAGGGTCCTGGGGGAATGGAGGACATCCAAGCCCATCCAGGGTAAGTATATCTAATCTTTTTCCCCACAACCAGACATCCGCATATGTAAATTGACAAACTGAAGGTGAGTTTCTCTCTCTCACACACACAAATGCACAGATATATATATGCATACTAAGTTTAATGAGGATCAGCTTGTGTTTGCAATTTTTTTTTCTTTCTCTTACTGGATGCTGTTATTGAATTTGACACCTGTTCCACTTCTGCTAACCAGAAGAAAAATCCTTCATTAAATATTTGGCCTTACTTTGCCAGTTATTGATCCAGTATTACAGAAAGTTATTTGTTGTAGCTGGCACAACTTTGAAAAAAATCCAAGTAGCCCTGTAATGTATTGGTGTAGACTACAGAATAATTCTGAAGACAGGGTCTGAAGTTCTGATCAGTATAATCTATATAATAAATTAGGGTTGATTTCATTTCATAAATGTCATATTCATACCTTTGGTCACCAGTTGGGTTCATTCATTTATTTGGTTTCAGATTTTTGTTACTCCTTTTCATGGTTTTCCTTCATGCTTTAGCTGTTAGTTTGGGTGTAATGGGAAGACCATGGAATGGGGTGGGAGTGGGGTGTTTTGGCAATATGTATATTTGTGTGTATATGACCTTGGGCATGTCATTTCACTTCATTGGTCCTCATTTTTCTAATTTATAAAACGAAGAAGTAAAGCTAGAATATTTTTTATGGTCCTTCCCACTTGAAGTTATATGATTTTTAATGTATAATCTGTTTTTAATGGAATCATTTCTAGGCCCTCTAAAATCCATGTCAGCTTTTCTGATATACATATAAATACCCCAAATTAAAAATAGACTGAGAGCACATAGTCAAACAAACGTGTGCCCCTCCCCCAGCCAGCTGTAGAAATGAAGCATTCTGCAGGGGGGAACATTTTACTGTAGGTATTCACATAGATTTGAAGTGGGGGTGTTTCTGTTTTGGCAGAAGAGGCAAGGAAGGTGATCAAGCTGTCACAATGAGGACATTTCAGCAAGCCACTGTTGTCCATTTCCACCTGTCCTTTGACCTTGTGGTTCTCGCTGTGGTCCTCATAGCGCGGCAGGGTCTGTAAGCTTACCAGGAGCTTTGTTGAGCCACTGCACCAGCTGTTGGGGTTGATATCCTAATGCATTATATGGATGGGTTGAGGAAATCTTTCCTCCTCCTCACGTTACAGGCTGCACTTGCAGAAGTAAATCCATTCCCCTTGACAGCAAGTGTAGGAGATGACAGAATTTCCCCCTATTGTTTAGCTCATTCACACTTAATGTCTTATGATTTCTCACTTTAACACTGCTTTTAATTGTTCTTCTGACAACAAGGTCCCTTAGGACTGTCCTTTTATCTCCTTTTCAGTAATTGTCCTGCCATTTTTTTTCAGGGAATATTTTGGGGAATAATTTTGAGTCAATATTTTGTAATTTCTGTCTTCTCAATCCAGGGAGTTTGCATGCGACTGATCTCTGTGGCTGACTTGTCCCGACAACCATGCTCAGTCCTGTCTTCTCTCAGCTTGAAGTGGTGATATTATCCTCTACCTTGCAGCACTGTTCTGCAGTTTAAATTCCGTAGTGTATATTCAAGTACACTAAGATGAGGACACTTAGTAAATAAAAATCAGTGTTATACACTGCCTGGCATAGAATGAGTGCAAAACCCATGCTAGGTATTAAAATATATAACATCTTTTTATACAGTGACATATTGGCAGTGTTAGATTATGGTATCATTCAAATTAATTTCTCTAAATAAGGAAAATTGATTAAAAACAGGATTATTTAGAACCTTACGGGTTCCAGTTATTCTCTAGTAAAGTGACATGCATTTTCATTTCTCATACGGCATCCGTCTTTTTTTGTGTGGGCAGATTCTGCCCTTTGACTAACATGCCAACTGATACCTCTGAGTAAATTTGACTTGGTCTTTATGGGCACTACAACCAGCTGAGCAGATCGACTTTTTTTTTTTTTTCTTCCTTTATGGTTACTTGATGCACCTTAGTCTGAAATTTGAACCCTATTTATAATATAGGTGATTTTAACTTTTCCTATATGTTATCAGATTCCTTCATTAATAAGTGGACAGTTTAAAAGCATTATTTTAGGGGCACCTGGATGGCTCAGTCTGTTAAGTGTCTGCCTTCAGCTCAGGTCATGATCTCAGGGTCCTGGGATCAAGCCCATGTTGGGCTCTCTGCTCAGCGGGGAGTTTGCTTCTCCCTTTCCCTGCTGCTCACCTGCTCATGCTCTCTCTCTCTCTGTCAAATAAATAAATAAAATCTTTAAAAAAATAAAAACAATTGTTTTAATTTTAAATTCTGTTAAAATAATTAGATAATCATAATCATGACAGATTTCTGCCAAAAATTAATGTCTGCTTTAAAACTTTTTTTTTGGTGGCATGCTTTGTCCAAATCCAAAAGTACTAATTTTTTTTAAAGATTTTATTTATTTATTTGACAGACATCACAAGTAGGCTAAGAGGCAGGCAGAGAATGAGAGGAGGAAGCAGGCTCCCTGCTGAGCAGAGAGCCCGATGCGGGGCTCGATCCCAGGACCCTGGGATTATGACCTGAGCCGAAGGTAGAGGCTTTAACCCACTGAGCCACCCAAGTGCCCCCAAAAGTACTAATTTATGCTAAAGTTTTGATGTTCCTCTGCAGTCATGTTGTAATAATTTTAATGTTCTTACATGTTAATTACTTATGGAATGATCCAGTTCCCTTACAACCACAGTAACAACTATCACAAAACATTGAAATTTCAATACCGTAAAACCAAATGTCGTTCAAAAGGCTGTATCTTGAGCTTCTAAAAGCAATTCATTATAGGCTGTGGGTCATTCTCACTGATGGCACAATCTTGCTTTTTTTTTTCTTTTTTAAAATAATGTGGGCTTCCTAGTGCCTGGGTGGCTCAGTTGGTGAAGCATCTGCCTTCTGCTCAGGTCACGATCCTGGGGTCCTGGGATTGAGTTCTGAATCGGGCTTCCTGCTCAGCGGGGAGTCTGCTTCTCCCTCTTCCTGTGCTGCTCCCCCTGCTTGTGCTGCCTCTCTCTCTGTCAAATAAATAAATAAAATCTTAAAAAAAAAATTAAGGGTGCGTACCAAAATAGTAACTTCCAATATTTGCAGTACATTTTATATGTGTCAGGTGTTTTATTTCAGTTAATCATGTCAACAGCTTCCTGCAGTTGATTCTACTATTATTATTTGTAAGATTTCACAGTTACCATGAGGAAAACTTGAACTCTGCAGACTCTAGAGCCCTCACTTACTGGACCTGTGAAGAGGCAGTACCCTTATAATGAGGTTCCACAGTGGGAATGTGGACTTCCAGTTTCTTTGGCTCTCAGAGTTGTCAGTAGGGGGGGTATTTATATGCTGATTTATTCATGCGAAATGAAGACTTACGATGTTTTTTTATTTACAGAACTATGGAGATGGGACTCCCTATGACCACATGACCAGCAGGGACCTTGGGTCACATGACAATCTCTCTCCACCTTTTGTCAACTCCAGAATACAAAGTAAGACCAATTTTAAATTAACATGCACTTTCGAATGCTGATATTTTGCCGTAGAAAGGGGAGAACACAGTCCAGACAGAGGATCTGTTTTTAGGGACTTGGATATTTACCCACTTCACTCTAGTGATTTTAAATTGCAGGAAAATACTGACAGTTTATTATGCTTGGTAATCGCACGTAAAGGACTATGTTTTATAACCGTGTGGAATTATAGGATTTCAGTGATATCGAATTGCCGTGGAAATTTTGTCTTCCTTATAAAGCTCTTATCGCAATTTCAGTGTTGCAATACTTGTATTCTGATTTAAGGTTGATAAAGTGGTGACTATTTAAAATACGGGCTTGTCTGTTGGCAACGATAGATAGTCCGGGGTTATGGAAACCCCTTTAATAATAGGTTTAGATTGCTGAAATCAGAGTAGTGTATTGAAGTTGATTGTAAGTTCTGGTTGTGTATTTATCTTGGTGTGAGCTTTTTAGTGTTGGTGGTCTAGGCGGACTGTATCTTATTTCACTGGAATCAAGCTATGCTTGAAACAGTTTGCGAGTTTCCAGCTTGTTCTTCATACTGGCTTCTTTCATGGGTTTTTCTGTTTCGTTTACCCTGTCGGGATGTGTGTCTAACAGCAGTAACCTGAGCAATGAGCGATAGCAGGTTTCTTTAGTTTCAAGTGGAACAATGATCTTTGTTCTGGTAAATGTGGGTTTTTTTTTCTTAAACAACATTAATAAATCTCTCAACTTGGTCAAATTCTATTGCAAATCCATCAATAAATGAAGTAAAATTTCTTGGCAGGAGGCGTTGGACCATACTCCAGGAAAAACACACAGCCATAATTATATCACTTTGAAACCATAATTGCAAATGCTTCTAAAGAATTTCCCTATTTTTAAGCCTTGGAAGCTTACTTGTTATTTAATATATAGATTGTCCTCGAATCTCAGTCATTTTTTCAAAGTCACCATCAAATCCAGGTGTTTAACACAACATAGATGAAGCAGAGGGATACTAGCAACTTATTTTAAGTGACATCATATGCTCGTGCCTTTAAATATCATTCCAGCTTTGAGAACCATGAAGTTGTGTTTGATTATTGGTTCTTACACTTGTGTTCCTTTTTACTTTCAAACGATAAATGTCCTAGCTATGCCTTAATTTTGTAGCTAAAGCCAGGTTCCCAGTTTTTTATCAGTTGTTGAGAGGGAGATGCAACAGTTTCATCCAGATCCAGAAGACGAGATATATCTGTCAACTTAGATTTCAAAGAACAACTTTGGACTCTTCCGTGACAATAGTGCTAATATTAAATTCTAACACCTTGCTTCTCCAGTCATCCTTGCTCAATTTCATAAAATAGAATAAAAGATTAACTTGAAAATAATCATCTTGGGAAGTAGTGCTCCGGTGGCATATTAAAGAACTCCCTTGGAAGATTCTAAAACTCTCCTCTGTTGAGCGAAAGTAAAATAGAATGAATGAATCGCTACTCATATTCAGAAGTGTATGTTAGGTACGTGATAAAAAGTTTTCCCCAAGACCAATTTGATAAGTTAGTATCACATAATACGCCAGGCAATACAAAGATATTAAATATTTGTTCTTGTTCATCTGTCCTTATGGGCAACTGTTTTACCAGCCAAATTCATTTTTCCATCCAAGTAGTAGTTAAAATATACGTGGGCTGCCAGACTGGAGCTAGAGCAGAGAGAGCTGACTCTTTCCACTTAGTTGTTGTTTAAGCTGAAAGTCCATGTCAGCTGTGTTCTTTTATCCCGTCTGCCCTCCTTCCCATTAAACTCTTAAATATGGAGGCCAAGACAGTCTCCTGCATTGTGATAGGAAATGCTACTATGTCCGGGAGGCTCCCACCCACTGTTCCCCATGAAAGAACTTCTCTGTTAGATAAGCTGTCTGGTCTGAAACATGGCTCTTTATTGTTTACAAACTGCTACATTTTCCACCTCAAGCAGATTTTTGCACAGAATAGATTTGTGCTGGGGCTAAATGGTTTATCTGACATTAACGGCGCAGTGTCAGACTGGGGTCAGGGAAGTCGCCCTCGGAGCGAGAGGGCACGGCGCAGTCTGCAAGAAAGGGAAAAAGACATTTAAACAACTATGAAATACCTTGCATTTTTAGTTTGGAAAAGAATTTAAAAATATTTTCAGAGGACTGCCCACGAGGCCGCATTAACTCTTGCCACCCCTGTCTCACATCCCAAGCGCTTCTGGATCTGGCTTGACTATCTCAGGGCTAGATTAGGGGAACAAAGATTCTCATTGATTTTTGCCCAAGCTGCTGTTTATTGAAAATAAAACCACGTTTGAGATGGGCCGTGTTTGGTGTGTGTTTATGCTGTGCTTTTCTAAAGAGAAAATAGGTTGTCTTCCAGAAATTAGACAACCAATTTACAAATGGAGACGAAGATAAAATAAAATCTATAAATGTAGCCAACGATTTGAACTCATGGAATATATGGTCTGCTCTACTCTGAGCTGCTCTTTGTGTCCAAATCCGTATTCGGTGGACTCGAAGTTTTCATTCTACCAAAAAAAAGCATTAGACATCACTGGAAGTTTTTGACAACAGTCAATACCCGCTTTCAGAATCTTTAGTTTTCATTTAAATTACAAAGGATTTCTTTACATGTCAGAGATTTAATTCTGCTGTGATGTCACATTAGGGTAAAAGCTATAGCATAAGAAATAAATCAGCCACTTTATTGGACCAGATTCTCTGTTGTCAAATCAATCAAGCCTGTGACTGAATTAGGCGTCTGCTACAGAAACAAGTGACACTAATTTTACGGGAAAGAGTTATTAACTGCAGATGACCTGATTTTTTTTTTTTTTTAAGTAAACTGTTCATTTAGTGAGGTTTTATTTTATTGCAAGGACAGAAAAAAGTAATGAACTGCTCTCTCCTTTTGGGAGTGCATTATTATTATATATTTTGTTCTTAATGGCAATACGCTATTTTGGAAATGATGCAGGCATTGCTAACATTTGCTCATAAACCCTTATGTAACAAAAGCCCTTTATTACAACTGTGAACTTTCTGATGTCACAGGAATGGTTTTGCGTCAATGTTCCAGTTTTTGTGATAGAATACTTAGGTTTGGCACCAGAATGCCAAAACTCAACTTATTTGTGTATCTCAAGTTTTTGCAGAATGGTAGATAGATAATAGTGTATCTCCATTAATTTATTCTTTAAGCCTGCATATCCGAATGTAGTATCCTATTGGATAGTTTGTGAATCCCTAAACTAAAAAGTGAACAAATGAATACAAACGCGCCTGCCTGCGTGCGCGGGCGCGTGCGTGGGTGTGTGTGCGCGCACACATGCCTATTCCACTAGAATTAATGACCCCTCTCCGTCAATAAGGCTGCACCACTTTTTCCATTACTGTCCGTACTTATAGTTGCCATACCAAGTTTTGGAAGTTGAGATTGTGTAAATCTTCTAAAGGAAAACATAACTAAAATAAACAAAAAAGCCAGCCCCTAATTTAAAATAAAAATAAGTGTGCATGACTTTTTTCCCTCTCCTGTGGGGGAGTCTTGGGGGAACTGAGAGACTACATTAGTGAGTCATCTAGCTGACTGCCTACCCTGACCAACTCGTGTATGTACTCTCTTTTTAAAATGTTTTTTTATTTTTTTGTTGAGGTATAATTGACAGATGACATTATATTAGTTTCAGGTGTACAGCAAAGTGATCCAATATTTGTGTATTCTACTCTTTTACCTGACATTTCCTGAATCCTCAACCACTGCTTTCATTGGCCAGAGACAAGCAAGCCAGTTTGCATTTTTGCTTCTTTGAAATGCCATGTCCCGTTTCGCATCTGGAAAAAACAAATCGCTTTTTCTTTGTGACGACGGATGGTTATTAATGATAAAAACATACACTTGATCTGCTGGAAACTTGTTCGCTACAGTTTTTAAACAGTTTGACTAAACCTTTATAGGTGGTCAGTGAGTAGCTTTCAGAATATGCTGATGGGACAGAGGGGCCATGGGTCTGAGACTTGTGTTTTTAAGAGGATTATAGGCTATGGAATAGTTTGAAAATACTGACAAGAGCTATATGCAAAGAGTATGGGCTTTTTAACATTCCTGCCCCTACTTGTTTTCTTGCAACCATTAAACTTCTGCAGGTCATTGTCCAAATGTTTTTACAATGGGCAACAATATATTTTCGAGCTAATACTTTTTGATCTGAGGAAGGAGCTAAGCATGCATTTTCCTTCTATTGTTCCAGAGACTTAATTGAAAACCAGATTGTTTGAGTGAGCAACTCGCCAGTAAGATGACAGACAAGCATCGGTAACTGAAGGATGTGAAAAGTGATCCTTTTGGGCAGTTGGCTGCGGCGTAGTTCAGCCTCAGCTGCTGGGTTCCTCGGTGTCCCGTCGTGAATGGTTCGGTTTCCTTGGTGTGGTGTTTGGTTCTAGTCCCACTAACGGTACTCCACCAGAGCCCTCAACCATTTTCCACCATAGAGTAACTGGTTTCTAAACTAGCTCAGTGGAACATTTTACTGCAGGATTAGATCGGGGTTTCAGGCAGGACTGAAGAAAGCTCCTGGCTTATAGGATGACCTTTGAATCTCATCTGGGTTAGCGGTTGATATTTTGATTTGGTTACTGTGGTCATATTGTGACAGCTGCTAGCTCATTATAATTCGGTTCCACTGCTCCGTTGGCCTAGCGGGAATATTTAGGTTTGTATTACTTCAAAGTGTTTATGACTACCCTGAGTTTAGCCCGGCATAAAGGTGAAGTGTTGTGAGTGTTTTCAAATCCCAGTGGCTGAGGCCAGTGGCACAGTCTTCTTGTAAAATGGCGAATGTGAGTAGATGCTAATACGGGGAGTTTTTCTTTTCGTTGTAAAACTGGAAATAAACCTAAACGAAGAGACTCTTACTAGGAAAACTGTTTTGAAAACCTTAACGTACAGTAACCTCAAAGAGACACAGGTTTTTTTCGAAGCATG